GGATGCCTCCAGAAGGTGTAGCCCGGCTGGGAAATGCCAGTCTCTCAAAAAAAAAAAAAAAAAAAAAAACGGCGAGCCGTAGCGCCGGGGGTAGGAGCGAGAAAAACCGGGAAGCGCCGGCGGCAGCCGGGTTTCCCTCCCGCACTCCCAGACCTCCAAAAACATTTCGTGCCACTAGCAACATTCTTCGAAGAGCGTCTCCCCATCCGCCTTCCCGCGTCCTTGCCCATCTCGGGCGCGCCGCGGGATGCGGAACGCTTTCTCCTCGCACAGCGGGCGTCAAAAAGAAAGACACCGCCTCGCCTTTCCCACAGGCGCCGTAGCACTGTAAATCCCACTTCTGGTGATGCGGCAGGGCCCCAGAAAGGAGCTGCCGAACACACCGCACGGAAGTTTACGGCACCCTGCCTTTACCAACCCGGTCCCGCGTTTCATCGCCGCATTCCTGCACTTAGGGATGGTGCACTTCAGATTGGTCCGCACCCCCCGGCGCAAAGCGGCGGCGAATTCTTTTGGTGCCGCGCGGTCGGCCTCCAAAAAACCTTTTTGCGGCGGCACACCAGCCTGCAAGTGGGTTGTCGCTTTGTGGGTGCCCGAACCGGCTTTATTTTTTTGCGCGTTTGTTCCCCACCCCCTTTGAGGTGGCAATGTCTGCGCCTCTTTTTTCGGGCGGCTGCAACCGCAACGCCTTTTAGGTAATTAAGGAGAACTGGGTGCGTGAATGTGGGAGTCTTTGAGCCCTTTTTTAGGGTGAGCGGATAAAGCGCGTGGCCTTCAGAATTTCTGCTAGCACCCTATTGTTAGTTTCGATTGTGCGTGCGCTCCGGGTGGGTAGGGCATAAAGTTTCCTTAACACGTTCCAACAGCAGCTCTTTCCCACGGCCATGTTGTTACAGAGGGTTTTCCATCTCTTATGGGATGCTTGTCTTGGCATCTCCCTTCTGCGTGCTGCCTGCCTATCGCTGTGAAGAAAGAGCCTAATATTTGGCGGATCTCTTATTCGACATTGCGGAGTTCCAGTGCCCAAGAAGGAGCAGTATCTCAAACCCCGCAGGGAACATCCGCAGCTGTTGCGATACGGATGGCGGAGGTCAGTGGTCGTTCTCTCTTGTAAACACTCATTTTCTCTTCAAGGTGTTTGTTTCACTGTGCGTTTGACATCTGTCTAAAGCGAGGCCATTTCGCTTTCTTCCATGCATAAATGGGGGCACGAGGGCGAGGAAACCGCAGTGGTTCATCATTATCATCTCCTACTACTGCTGCGCCGAAGAGGATGGTGTAATGACCGCTCTCCGGGGAGAAGGATGCCGTCCAGGACTCTAGACGGCATTCTCGGGATATTGTCACATCCGGCGCGGACGGGCCATGGCGTGTGGTGTGGACGAGTGCACTCTCCAGTGTTATGAATAACGTGGTCATTATCTAAGCACCATTGTACTAGCACATCGCCACGGGTATCAAGGGGGATCGCGCGATCCCATGCCATTGCATGCGCATTGGCATCTGCACCAATTAGGTGAGGTCCGCTTGTCGTCAAAAGCGTGTCTAGTTGCGAAGTTGTGTATGATCTCCCCGGAGGGAAGAGTATGCTGACGTCATTGTAAGCGCCAGACCTTCTGAGGTGTGGATCGTTGCATGAGCATGCTCAATGCTTGCAACTACGGTGAGTCCTCTTTTTACTGGCAGATCTTCACGCACAAGAATCGAAACACCGCCTCCTTTAGAGGGGTGGGACACTCCATGATGTTGGTAACCAGCGATTGTGAAACTCGACGCTTCCGCAGAAGATAGTTTCGTTTCGCTTAGAAGGCAGAATGCCACATTCTCCTCAAGAAAGGTTTTTCCACGCAGTGAAGGGCCGGGATTTTCCCCTACTCCACCACCACTCAGCAGCAACCTGGTATGGGTGATACTGCTGATAGCACGTCGACAGGTGACACAGGCGTTTCTCTCATAAAAGAAAGGTATTTGCATGAAAAGTGGAGCCATTATGGGAAGCAAAAACGTACTAAATAACCCAGAATTCTTTCTAAGAAGGGACGGTCCAAAACATTGAAATGCAGCTAAGGTATACTTACCGTATCATCGCCCGCCCCACATTTAATGCCGTAGCAACGCCGATGGATTATAAACAAAGCAAGTACAGCCATAACTTAACACAGAGGCGGTTTTAAAGGTAAGGGCATAGTAACCTTTTTACGGTTTTTTTTCCCCGAGAATTCCGGAAGCAGCCAAGAGCCGCACAAAGTCCAGCTATTTTTTACAACCCCACCCCCCTTCCCAGAGAGCCCAAACGGGCGCACAATGGAATCATCTGTTGGCAGTACTTCTCGATTTGGGTTTTCCAATTTAAAACCGTTTCTTTGTAAAGTAGAACCTGCACCTTCCATCACCCTTTCCAACGGTCAGGCCAATGGACGCCGGCGGAGCGAATCAAAGGGTGATAAAAAGCAAAATAATACTTTATAGGCGAGGCGGGCAGCAGAAACGATGAACCGTCACAATCGCAAAAGGTGCTGTATTTGAAAGTGTGGGTATTAATTTAATTGGCGGACCGTTGTGGATGCTGTTGCGCCGCAAGCCTCTCAGACGGCAGCAAAAAGAAATAAAAACAATCGATGTGGCCAACAAAGGAAGCATAACGCAGCCCAGTCTTCATAGAAGAAGACCCTCTCTCCTTTTTTCGAAAGGCGTCGAAAACAGCGCAGTTTATTAAAAGCATTGTCTCTTCTGGGGGTGTTTCTGCCCGCCATCAACTTCTGAAAAAGTACTTTCTGAAGCCCCCATTTACCGCCAAGACTTCCCCACGGAACGAATCGGCAATCATTGGGGGTCATCACATCATGAGGCATTGGTTTTGTACGCGGGCAAGGCTGTTTTAATCTTTTTAAGATTTAAAAATACAAGCTGGTAAAAAGAATATGTGTCTACCAGGGCCTGCTTTTTTTTTGCGGTTTGGCATGTATTTGTTTTCACGTTTTCTTTCATTTCTTTGTTGCGATAGTTTGCATGGCGATTCGCAGTCTGAACAAATAGAAAGGATTTGAGTTTTGTTACTTTTGCTTTATCACCACATCCCATATTCCTTGAATGTCTTAGATCTGAAGGGTAAAGGACTCTAAAATCCACAACACCTTGGTAATGATTTGTTACCTTTTTTCATGGTACCAATATTAAGTACTTGAATTTATTAAGAGAAACCCAAAGCAATCAATAAAAATTTAAAGGGGTTGACCTCCCAAAGAACCAAATTATATTTTGCAGGCGATAGAGTCTTAAAAAACGAAGTAACAATTTATTTTGATATCTACGTTGTTCAGAATGCTCTTCCTTTGGTGGCGCTTGGCGATCGAAAAGCAGCGCCAATGTCTATTATCCCCTTATTCTTCGAGGGAGGCCATGGACCAGTAAACTCCATTCGGGAAGTTTACGGGTTTATAGGGCACAAACATCACACAGCACCGGGACCAGCTACGCCGTGCTGGGGCAAAAATTTCTCCAAGAAGATACTGGGCACGCATAAACATGCATTAGCAGCAGTTTTTTTTTTTACATATTTTGCACTTTAGCGTGAATGTTGCTAGGGGGAGGCGCGGGCCCTAGAAATAGTAACAACTATGCCCTCCTGTAGCGGAAATTGGATAGATCGCTAAGGCAACACAGAGAGGGAAAACAAATCCAAGCCCCGCCACCAGCGGGATTCATAGGAACCTCCTTGCCAATACTCATGCGCATGGCGCGATGGTAACAATAATAAAAAGATATACAGAAATAAACAACTAGTAAAAAAAAATAGTAACACCAACATATATATATATATATAAACGGCTGCTGACGGTTACCGCATTTTGTAAATCCCCAAAAAACAAGAAAAAATATTTTGAGCATACATAACCTTACAAAAACCATTTCCAGATGGTGTTTGGTAAGCAAAAAGTGTTACCGAAGTCCAACCCCCGCATATCCAGGACAAGCGGGGTCCGGCATTGTTTTTATTCTATTGGGTTTTTGGGCTTCCAAGCTGCAACGCCACAGAACGCCGGTGCCAGCTGTGATGGAGAAGGCCTTGGCCCAGAAAAATGGTAACAGCTGCTCGTCTCTCATTTACATTTTCTGCCGCCAGGAAATCCAAAAGGGCAAAATAAATCTACACACCGTAGCTTACCAAGGAATTTTTTATGGTATAAATTTTATCGCACGCGATTTCAATAGAGAGAACTTTATTCTCAAGTTTTTCTTGGTCGCTCTTGAGGTTGAGAAAAAAACGCGGGGAAGGTAAAAGAAAATTTTCATCTGACTACATTTACGCCGGTGCGTCAGAAGAAATATTCGATAGATGGAGAAGTGGTGGGGGGAGAAGTTTTTTAGAGTACACAACAATGTAGGAAAGGGATGCGGGAACAAGAGGCGTTTACTGAGACACATACATTTGCCGAGGCGCCATGAAATTTTAAGACCCTGAGAATCTCTTTGAGCCATATGATATTGGCAAAATCAAAGCAGACCACAGACACACACCGCACCCACACACCCCCCAAACCCCTATGGGCGAAGGCATATTTAGCATAGTTTTGTCTGTTACATGCGCCGCGCCTGTGTATGGGGAATCCTTTTTTCTCCCTTTATTTTTCGTTTTAACGATAGCGCAACGGCAATCGCAAACCCTCGGCAAAGGGTTGGGCCGCCCAAGCGTCCGCAAAACACGGGCGAAAGCAGATAACCACTTATCGAAGAACGAAAGCCCCCACCCACTTGAGAAAACCACCCGCTCCAGGTGGGCGGCCGGCGCGTTTGCGTTAAAGAGGGTGCTTATGGGGTGCCGGCTCCAGTTGCCAAGGGCACGGACCTGCGCACAATTTCACCGGAGGGACCCCAACACATCCAGCCACCCACTTCGGATACCCGAAGCTCTTTTTATGAGATTTCTGCAATTGCGCGTTGGTAGCTCGATAAAAAGGGGACGCCAGAGAGAATGGCAATGTCCATGCCGATGTTTTTGCAGGACGGGCGGCGGCCATCTGTGGAATTATCTGGGGTGGAAGAAAGCATAAACCAGAAGGAATTATGTGGTTTCAGAAAAAGAAGAAGCATTTCCTATTTCATTCAAAGAGGCAATTGGAGAAATTGAGATTTTGATGTGTGTCGTTTTCAAAACGAAAAGTGTATTCCATTGGAACACCTTTTTTGGCCCCTTCTTTCCACCAGCGCCTAATTTTCCCCTAAAGGAAGATAAGGGGGGAAAAAGAGAAAATATCTAACTTTATCGCCTTAAACCCTCCATTCCCGCAATATATATATATATATTACCACAAAGGTCCTTCCCTAATAAATACCAGAACTGGCGAAAATGGGGGTGCAGGGAAACTCTTTTATCCTGCCTTCCGCTCTCCCCCATCGCAAGTTCCACCACTTTGCAACGTCCAAAGTTTTGTGGGATTCGCCATCTGCATATTGCTGTCCGCATGATTCTCCTCTGATGCGACGTAACTCCAAGTAGCTCGTATTCTGTACGAGTGCAAAACTCTCTATCTATAGCGTTGGTTTCCGCCACTAACGTTTGTGAATGCGCGTTTTCTTTTTTCATAATGCGCATCGTCGTTGCGTATGCGAATATCCAATGGCCTATTAAATGTGTTTTAAACCCCCGATATGCATGATGAACGGCACGCACCTCCGCTTGCGACATCATGTGAGGGGCGAATGGTCCCTCACACCGCCTGCGGCCAGAAATTCGTTAACAGTGTTTTGAGCCAATTGCGCCCAATGGCCCTCGTATTGGATGATGGATGTGCCCGATCATGTCGCCGTAATAAATCCCAATTTAAACGTGACAATCGTCTACGCACTATTTTTAAGCAGAAAAAATAAGGGAAAAGAGATCCACCCTGCACCCCATGCCGCGCGTATCATCTGCAAAACTGTTCTCTCCAATTTTTCAACTTTTGAGTGTTCCAATAATAGTGCTTCTTCCAATTTCCCTATTGCCTTTTGGCTTAAAGAAACCGTGTTTTCCTTGTGGTTGAAGTGGGCTCCTATGGAATCTTATTCCTTTGTCGCCAACTGTTGCTCCCCAATAGTGACCCCACAGCTTTTGCATGTCATGCATGATTTGCTGCCCCCAAGCTTTCACCTTGCCATGTGGGCCACTTATTTTGATGTTATCCATCCAGACATGTATGTGTAGACCTTTTGGTGCCGCGCACTGTGGCTTTACCAGCCCCGGATCACCAGCAAGAACTCTTGTAATGGTATTTAAAATCCCGGGACTACATTTATAACCCGCGTGAAGGTGAGTGAACCGACTGGTTCTCCCGACCCCATGCGGCAACGGAAACTTGTTTGTATGTTAACCGGTAGGGCCAGCTAAAAAAAATGATGCCTTTAAAACCAAATAATGTCGTGGTTTCTTCGTAAACTACATCCAGATACCGGGAAATGTCTCCCAAAGGAACATCGGCCTCGTAATCGTCCTTGGCACTCTTTTCCCTAAGCCACGCAATTTTTTTTTTGTTCTTTGTCTCTTTATCGATTTACCCAAATGGCGCGAGCCATCAACAGCAATACATATATAAAGATATATGTATATTATATTATTTTATTTTTATTATGGTTTACCGTTGCACAGAGGAATTACGCATTGGTAATGAGACTGCAATGGATCTTGTAGGTGGCAGAACATGGATTTTTTCACCTCCATCGGTTGCCGCGGCGACCAATCCAATTTTCACCACTGGAGGGCATAATTGTTACTATCTCTAGGGTCCGTGCCTTTCCCCAGCAGCGCTCACACTAAAGTGCAATATATAAAAGAAACTGCTGCTGATGGTACGCTGGTTCGCGCCCCAGGATCTTCTTGGATAAATTTTTGTCCCAGCACGACTCTGCTGGCCCCGGTGCTGTATGACGTTTGTAGCTTATGAACCCGTAAACTCTATAGAAAGAGTTTACTACTCATGACTTCCCCCAGAAAGAATAAGGGATTATGGGCATTGGCACCACCTTTAGATGGCCAAGCGCCACCGAGGGAGCAGCATTCCGAAGAACGCATGTGTTAAAAAAAAAAAGAAAAGAATTTGGGTTTTTAAGGAGACCACCCACTTCAAAAATTTAGTGGGTGAGTGCATTTAGTTTCCTTGAATAAATTCAAGTACTTAACCTTGGTACCATGTTTAGGTAGCACACCATTACAAAGGTAGCCAAGCAATAAATCGCCTTCTCTGCCCTGACAGTTTTTTCACCACCACCGCAAAAGGGATCATCCATCCTGTGGGGCTGGGTACGGTGAAGCTGTACAAATAATTCCCGTTTCCTTCATACGCAGAGTATCAGCGTTGTTAATTCGTAAATTGGATTCACCGTGCATTTAATGTGTTTCAGGTTTCTGCATAATATTCCACGCCTTGTCCCACCTCCCCCTGCCTCTATTATTTAGGCGCTTTCTAATCAATTTGGCGGATAGTGTTCCTACGTCTATTTCTTGCAATAGCAATCGCTCTTCATCTTTCGTTGTCACCAGAGTTCGATTTGATCGTTGTGGCATGTTGTGTTCTTTAAAGGGTGTGTTAATGCCTTCTTCAGGATGTTGTGGTAATGTCCACCTGGTTGTTGCCCTTTTTTCCAAATCTTTTACATCAATGGTGTCAGTTGCACTGACTCGTCGATTCCTGCGGCCCAATGGCCGAGGTACCGTGCCGTGCTTCGTGGGAGTTCCAAGGGATCCGCGTGTTTTCCCAACTGTCTCAGCAGCCGTGGGTTGGGATCGCGTTCGACCACTGCTTCTGCGGCGTGTGGCGGTGCCCCTCTCTTTACGAAGCAAGCCGCCACGCCGCACAGGGAAAGAATAATTTCCATACATTTTGTAGTTAACGCCATTGGCTTTTTCGTCTCCCTCCATCTCTTTCTCCACTGTTTTCATCTGTCGCGCATCCTCTCCGCCGATGGCTGCAAACCTCGCTGCGTTTTGCAGATCGCCCTTGAATGTCTTGGGAAAGAGCGCCCCAATCCACTATTATGGCGTTTGATTCCTGAGTATGGGCTGTGCAATTTTGTTTCTGAAGTTGTTCTGCTTCTCCCCAACGGCTGGCTGTAACTCACGCTAGTCGTAAAGCCAATCGATCTTTTTCCTGTGGAAGAGTATTGCTTTATCATACCCAACTCCTGTCTCAAGGTGGGGGATTACTTCTTTTACGGGGTCTGCGGCCGCTGTTTTTTGTAGGCCCGTCGAAAACATTTGAGTGGGCGTTTTCCTTGACGCCATCATGGTGACGAGAGCTCTCCTTCATTGTGCTAAGCTGTTCTTTTTGAAATTGCAAACTTACGATAAATAATGAAATATCTTCTTTCTGAACCTTTAAATTGCTCTGCACTGTAAACTCGATGGGCCTCCTCATTATGGAGCTTCTTTGTTCCCATACCGTTCAGGTCCATATGTGTTTTGCGATCTGGCTGGCCTCTGCAGCCTACGCCCCGATGTACGGATCGTGGGGTGGCACGGGGATTGTGAAAAACTCATTGGTGGGCGCCGCCCCTGGGGAGGGGGAAGTGTTAGTGATGGGAAAGCTCCCCGAATTTGTTTTGGTTGTGCATTTTGCTTTTGCGTTTCTCCACTGGCAATGGTTTGTGGTGCGTTCAAAAATTGCGATCGGAAGGAAATTACGGTGTTGCGTGGGCTTCCCCAGCCATCCGCGTCTTGCTTCCATTGGCGCCCTATCCATCCCAGGACCGGTGTTCTCCGTTTCCGGGGCTAAACGTCGTTCTTTTAGGCTTGCAATATTCATTCCGCTAAACGGCATGGCGCATTTAAGCACCATGCCCGATGCGAGCGCAACTACGGCAGAGTGCTTTGCTGGATGGCGCTGTTGCCTTGTTATCCTCCGATGGCAAAAAAGCCGCCAAGCAAACCTTTGATTGGAAAAAAAAGGGGAAAATAACGCCAACATATAAACCACATACAACCCCAGAATAGTGCCATACGGCATTCCGCTATCCAGGCGCAAGAAGCGAAAAGCCGCGCCATAACAACACAAAGGGTGCCAAAAAATCACCCGGTATCTTATAAAAGAAGGGTTTTCCCCAGCACAGCGGGCATCAAAAAGACAGACGCCCCGCCGTTCCCACGGGCGCCGCGGAACGCGCATGGCGAAGGACGGGGCCGGCGCGGCACTGCAAAATCGGCTTCCGGGGGCCCCCGAAGCCTTCCCGTGCGCGGGCGAATTTCGGGCCGCGCCGGGCCCTCTCGACACCTTTGCCCCGCTGTTTCGCGGCGGTGCGGCCGGAAACTGCCCCCCCCCACCCCCACGCTGAGGGGCGGTGGTCCCCTGTTCCGTTTTGCGTGTATGTGTCGGGTGGTGGTGGTTTGAATTCTCTGCTCTCCTTTTGGCGCTTCCCCCTCTACAGTGGGAAACCCCGCGGGGTATACGCGGCGGTTCTTGGCTTCAATATGCGGCTTGTGTGGGGCACAGTGGATGCACTGTCGTTCCGGTGTGGTATAGTGGCTAGAACAAGCGGCTCTCACCCGCTAGACCCGGGTTCGATCCCCGGCATCGGAATTTTTCGCGCATCCCGATCGTGGGTCGTTTTGTTCTCGGAGCCGGGCGGGGCCCGGCGCCGCTTTGTTTTTTCGGCCCCGTTCGCGGTCCGGCCTTCTGGTACGGGTGCGGGTGTGCGCCGCCGGGCCCTTTCTCCTCCACCAAATCCCCGCGATCCCTCTCGCCTTCTCTTTTTCTGAGGGCTGGCTAAAGAATAGCAAAGCCCAACCTTATGTGGCAACAAATTTTTTGGGGTCTTGGCAAACCAAATTCTACTCCTTTACCTTCGCGGTCTTCGTGGGAGTGGGTTTCTCAAAAGTAATGTTTGCAAGCGAGGAAAATGTTGGGTACGACCCGCCCCCATTATTCATCAGTAAAATGGGTGACGAGTACACGCGCGTTAAAAGACTCGGTGGAGGCATGTAATAAAATAATGGAACGCGTAAGGACATATAAGGAAAATAAATATTTTTTCTTTTGTTTTTATTTCTTTCTTTGAAAGGGAGTAAGGCTGGGGTATTCTATTTTATTTTCTGAAAGCTTGCGAAAAGAATTATCGAGCTATGCGCCGATTACCAACGGAATGGAGTAAAGTATGTTTTGTTGATAATTTGGTAATGCCTTTCTATTCTTCGTGGTCTACCAAACGTGAGTTTCCCAAAAACCCACCTAATCCAACCCACATTGCCCTAAATGGGGAGTGGGTTAAACGGATTTCTCAGCATTTCCTTTTCGTCAGATCTGACATCAATAGGAGAACGACCATAAAGAAAATATATTAATAATCATATGTGAATTTCAGGGGAAATGTAGGGTTCAAAAGAGAAATATTTTATTACACTTTGTTTCTTCTATTTATTTTATTTATTAACGTGGAAAGGAAGGCTGTAATTAATCTTTTCATTTTCATTTTTTATTTTTTAATCCAGGGGAAGCGTGTCGAGCAATGCGTCGCTCACCGGCGTTGTTTCTTAAGCGCTTTGATCCTTCGAAGTTCTTTCGCTCTTTGCCGGGTGTTGCGGGGGAAAAAAACCCAGTGGAACCGGGCGGTTCTTTCCTGTCTAATCAGGGCTTTGGGTTTGGGTCTTTTCAAGGGGGTCTACCAGCAAATCTTGCTGGCGGTTTTGCGACGGGTTCTCGCGATTCCGGTGCCCACGGGGAGGGTGCAGGCGGAAAATCCGGCCAGGGTCCTGGCGCGGGATTTGGTGGTGGTTCTTTTGGAGGTCCCTTTTCAGGACTCTTTGACAAAGCGTTAGAATGGTGTAGTGAAGCCCACGCGCGAGACATTGCACGGCGCCAAGGAATTGATATTCGGGATATACGCTTTGAGAAGACAGCAGAAGGTGGTATTAACGTCGTTGTTGATGCTCCAAACGCAACACCAAAACAAATAGAACAACTTGGTGAACAAGTAATGGAGGAATGTCCTGTAGCCAGATTTAGAAAAACCCAGGTAACGTCACCGCAAGAAAAGATTCAGTGGCTTCGTTTGCCTGATCGGTACGATCGGTAGGAATTGTTTTAGTTTTTTTTTTCCGTGAAAGGCTGAGAGAGGTTTGTAATGGGAATAATGGAATGTATTTTGGTTTGATCATCCAGAAATAAAAAAAAAAATACATGTATTGTCGTGAAAATGAATTGGTTTCGTTTGTTGTTTGCACTACCTTGCCTTTTTTTTTCCTGTTGTATGTGAAACATTGTGGGTTTACTGAAGAACATGCGCCGGACTTTTGTGTCGTTCAACAAGGACGGTAGAGCGGAGAACCGGTTGGATGGTTTCTTCCCTGGAATAGAGGTGCCGAAAGCAGAGTTCATTGCTCGGCGTCAAGAGGTAACTAAGGGAGAGAACGAGATGTTTCTCGTCGATGAAGATTTGGTGCTGAACCATCTCTTGGCTAGTACCTCTGTAACATATGACGTGAAGACAGATACACTAAAAGGCGACTCATTGAGAACGTCTGAAGTGAGTGGTGCCGTTCAGCTTTCTTTGAACCTTTTACGTGATGATTTTGGTGGTCGACAAAAAAATGAACCCTGCTATTGCAATTGGGATTCAAAGATGCTTGCTCTCCGTGGGGACTGATTTCAAGTGCTCATGCAAATAAAGTCAAGGTTAATTTTTGTTTTCTTGGCATATGTTTTTTTATTTATTTATTTTCATGATATTCACGCGATGTTATTCCTGATTAATTTTTCCTCTTTTTTTTTTTATGTCTTTTGTACCATTTCCAGTGAGAGGTATGGCAGCAACTCGTTACAGGAACGGCGAAGAACGCATTGTTGGCATTATTGGAGACGAGGACACAGTCACTGGTTTCCTTTTGGCGGGAACTGGGGATAATCGGACAAGCGTTGGTCAAGTGAGTGGAGAGAAAGGGAAGGGTGCACAACCCAACTATGTGGTTGTGAATCCCACCACACCACTGGCGGATATTGAGTCTGCGTTTACCAACATGTGTGCAAATGATTCCATCGGTGTTATTATTATTTGCCAGCATATAGCGAATGACATACGTCATCTGATTGAAGAGCGCAATGAGCCTATTCCTTGTGTTCTTGAGATCCCTAGCAAAGGAGGTGTCTATGATGCTGAGAAGGACTACGTTCTTGAAAAAATCAGCAGAGCACTTGGCATACGATAGTGACATGATTCACCATAGGGATGACCGTATCTTATGCTTAAGTAGGCTCTTCATGTTTTGTCGATCCATGTTTCTGTAGGACGAGGTGGTGAGAATCTGTTATATATGTGTGTAGTTTAATCTGATGGTTTCAATTTTTTCTTTGTTTTTTTTTTCTATTTCTCTTCATCTACAGAAAAGAAAAGAACAAAAAAAAAATAAAACAAGCTACAATATAACTTTTAACTGTTTTCCAAAAAAAATATTCAAAAATAATAATAATGGAGCATTATCTTAAAGAGCTAACTGCATATGTGAATGCGAGCCCTGCACCACCAGGAGCCACCAGTATGGCTGTTGAATCGTTCAATGCGACACCTGAAGTAACACGAAAAATGAAGATGCTTAATGCAGAGGCCGACAAAAGCTTGATTTCATGCCCTGCCTGGCGCCGTCTTCAGCAGTTGTACGAACGTCACGGCAATGAGAGCATTCTGAAGCATTTTGAAAACGACAAGGATCGATTCCGGAGATACTCACTTGAAGTGAATTTGAAGAGTTCGGATGGGAATTTCCTCTTTTTGGATTACTCTAAGTCTCACATCAACGACGAAGTAAAAGATGCACTATTCGAGCTAGTTGAGGAGCGTGGCGTTCGTGCGTACATGCGAGCGCTTTTCAACGGAGAGAAAGTGAACACAACTGAAAATCGCGCTGTGCTTCACATTGCCTTGCGCAATCGAAGCAATCGTCCCATAATGGTGGATGGCCATGACGTGATGCCTATGGTAAACCAGGTCCTTGAACAGATGAGAATCTTCTCTGAGAATGTGAGGAACGGTGTGTGGAAAGGCCAAAGTGGAAAGGCGATTCGCCATGTTGTGAACATCGGCATCGGTGGAAGCGACCTGGGTCCCATGATGGCCACTGAGGCGTTGAAACCCTTCTCCAAAAGGAATATTTCCATGCACTTCGTCTCTAACGTGGACGCAACACACCTGGCTGAGGTGCTAAAAACTGTTGATCTTGAGGCGACACTTTTCATCGTTGCAAGCAAGACGTTCACTACACAAGAGACAATTACCAACGCTGTATCTGCAAAGAACGCACTGCTCACATTCTTGAAGTCTCGAGGGATAAGTGAGAATGGTGCTGTTGCCAAACATTTTGTTGCACTTTCAACGAATACAAAGAAGGTGATGGAATTCGGCATTGATGCAGCGAACATGTTCCAGTTCTGGGACTGGGTTGGAGGTCGGTATTCGTTGTGGTCTGCTATTGGCTTGTCCTTGATGATCTCGATCGGATACGATAATTTTGTGGAGTTACTGACTGGTGCACACATAATTGATGAACACTTCATAAATGCGCCAACAGATCAAAACATTCCCATAATTCTTGCCTTGGTTGGCGTTTGGTACAACAATTTCTTTGGAGCAGAGACTCAGGCTATCTTGCCATACGACCAGTACTTATGGAGACTCCCTGCATACCTTCAGCAACTTGACATGGAGAGCAATGGGAAGGGTGCCACCAAGAGTGGACACGTGGTATCAACACAGACTGGCCCTATTATTTTTGGAGAGGCCGGCACCAATGGCCAACACGCCTTCTATCAACTCATTCACCAAGGAACAAAGCTGATTCCCTGTGATTTCATTGGAGCAGTCCACAGCCAAAATCGCATTGGTAACCACCACCGAATCCTGATGAGCAACTATTTTGCTCAGACCGAAGCATTGATGGTTGGTAAAGGCACTGATGAGGTACGACGGGAACTCCAGGGTACGGGAGGAATTTCTGAAGATGGGATCAATGCACTGCTTCCTCACAAGACATTCACCGGAGGACGCCCCAGCAACTCGTTGCTGGTCAATGCTCTAACCCCACGTGCGCTGGGTGCTATCATTGCAATGTACGAGCACAAGGTCCTTGTGCAGGGGGCCATTTGGGGAGTGAACAGCTTCGACCAATGGGGTGTCGAGCTTGGAAAGGTGCTTGCCAAATCCATTCTTCCTCAACTGAATCCCGGAGCCAAGGTAAGCAATCACGATGCATCTACGAATGGTCTTATCAACTTGTTCAATCAGCATTCACACCTTTAAAAGAATTGCGTTTTTGGAAAGACGTTGAACGACGGTATTTTTTTTTTTTTTTATGATAGAGATGTTTACGAGTGGTAATAATGCTTCAATGAAAACTCGATTTGTGATCTATTGAGGATATTCTGTGGGGGTATGTAGCATTGGGTTAGGAATTTTTCTCTAATTTCTTCATAGTCTACTCAATGCTTATGAAGATAAAAAAATCTTGCACTGGCTAGTTGTACGTGTGTGTTTCTTTCTTTGGTATATTTTTTTTTCTTTTAACCTATCATTTTACTACATACAGACTGCTTTATGAAGCGTATAGATGATACGGGTGATCGCAAGGGGGATGTTGTTGTGAGTTCTGAGGGTCCAGAGATATCAGCATCGTATCGATCTCCTTTTGGTGGTCGCAGCTACTACCCTACCACCTTATTCAAGCGTCGCTCTTCATCGGTACCGCGAGTTGGTGGTGGTTTTTTGAAGAAGTCGTGCTCGCCGCGGGACGCAGTGGAGCCGTGCAGCAGAGATGGGCGGAGCTCTTCCGAAGGAAGGTCTGGAGTGAGGAGCCATAGAGAGCCCATTTCAAAGGATGCTCCTTTGTTAGGAAGATACCGACAAGGCGAAACGGAGCGGGACAGGGTCTGTGGTGTGAGAAATGCTGGTGGGATTGCGAGTGATGGCCGATGCATTTCGGGTTCCGTGACTGTTGTATCACCAGATCAGTTGGGAAAAGGGTCGAGAGTGGTACCAGTGCTACGTACGGGTGTGGGGTGTGTTTCAGGGGAGGGAGGTGTACCTATGAGAGATGATTTCGCGGAGCAGACGGCACCATGGAAGCAAGCAACACAATTGAAGCGGCGTGTGGCTGTGTCATGCCCCCCGGCATTGGGACGCAGCGAATTACCCGGGGAACATAAGCGCAGAGACGTGAAAAAGACGAAGACCAGTCCAGATACTACTGCGTCTCCGATATGCCCTGATAGATGCTGTATTCATGGTCGTCAGGCGATTTTAGACTACGTTGACATGCAGCGTGAGCTCCGTGAGTGCTATGATGCATTGCAGGAGCGGAATGCCGAGCTTGAGGTTCTGCAGACCCAGTTTAATTTGATTCAAAAGGAAAGGACGGTGCTGGAGTCTCGTTTTCAGATAGAGTTACAGGAGGTGAAGGAACACTGCGCAGAAAGTGTGGCAAGGACAAGCGAGGCTCATGTGGAGTGGCATCAACGCGTCTTGTCTGACCAGGTGGCATCTTCCCAGAGGGACAGAGAAAGCGTGGAAAAACTCAGGACTGAGTTGAGGCGAGAGCGTGAGGCACACGCTCACACGCAGAGTGAGTTGGATGCGGCACAGAAGATGTGTCTCGTTCTTAAACAGCAACTGGAGAGGCTCCAGGATGCCCCTCGTTCGCCTGTGTCTCTGGCAGGAAAAGGCGACCTGCCTGCAGGAGGTCATGGGGACCAGTTCTCACCGGACCGACACTCGTTAATATCCATGCCCAGAACGCCAACGCCGCGTCGTAATCCCCCGCCCGCACCCCATCCAACAGAGAGTGAAGAATGTAGGCTCAGGAACGAAATCTTGTCTCTTTCTCCCGCCCGTGGGAAGCCAACCTCGCCGGTGCATCGAACCTGCCCTGAGCGTGTAGGCGACGAGGCTTTTGTGGGAAGTGCTCCCGCGAACTCGACCATCAACATCAGCGATCCTTCCATTGCTTCGTCAGCGGTGCCTGATTTTGACGGATCAGGTCCCTGTTTGTTGTTGAGTGAGACCAGGCGGGGTTGTGTTATGGAAAGAGCAGTAGTAGGGGAAGAAGAGGACTGTGATGGGGGGACGCAGCGCGAAACGGAGGAATGCACAGAGGGGGATGGTCAACCACCTAGCTGTGACACACGGAGCAATGCGCGTACCAGTCAGGGTGAACGAACGGCGCTGGTGACGGGGATTTCATTCTCGTCTTCTGCCCACCCGCTTTCCGGGGCAATGCCTGGTGCTGCTCTTGCTGTGCTTCCTCCTGCGGTTCATCCATTTGAACACCTTGCAGGGCAGGAGGCGCTCCTGTGCAAGGAGCTTCTGCGTGCTCTCCTTGACAAGGAGAAACAACTCGCGGAACTGTCGTTGGAACGTCCAACACTGAGGGAGAAGGGCAACTTCGCTTACTCCCGCAATGACACTTGTTAAGGGGCGAAAAGGCTGTGAAGCGATTCTCCCTCGATTTTTGGTGGACACGGTTCTCCAAACTTCTACTGCCTTTCTCATCTGTTCTTATTTAGTTGTTATGCGTGCCTTCTTCCGTGTACAGTAGGGCTGGCTGTAATTCTGTTCTTTCTGTCATTCTATTTCAGTGCTAGTGTCGAGGCTGAGTGTGATGTCGTTTTCCTGCTTTGGAGCTTGTGTCTTCCTCTTCATTGTATAACGTGGTAAGTTCACTTTTTTCCTTCTCTTTTCTTTTTGTCTTGCAAGTGTGCACCCATTTCTTTTTTCTTTGTTGTTGTTTGTGCGGGAGTAGATAAACGATGAGGGCCACAGCGAAGAGGACGGGAGCCCACCCAAGTGTTAACGACCTGGATCCGACTGGATTTGTGGTGCAGCCTTTCCACGTGCTTGTGGGAACGGCAGCGTTTGTCATTAGCATCATTCTGCTCCATTTCTACGGCAAGTTGGGCGGTTCCAAGGCATAAGGCGAGACGAACCACGCAAATGATGCCACCGAGAGAGCAATAGGATGGGGTTGGGGAGAGCGTGTGCAAGGGTGTGCATCATGTGAAGAGGAGAAGGGTGGGAGCGCGCGTGCTCACTTCGCCACCGGGATACGTATATGTACATGTGTGTCGGTGAAGTGAACCCCGTTGTTTGTGGAGCTCAAGGGCGAAGCCGAGGGCAGACATGTATGTGCGTTTGCATGCCCTCGCCCATCATCTCCTCATCCACCCACACACCTGCATTTAGGCTGTGTCAAAAAAAAAAAAAAGGGGATCAAAGAGGGAAACAAACAAAAAAAAAACGTCACGAAAAGTAAATATGTAGATCTCTCTCCTTCTTCTTTGGGTATGTTGTGGGTTGAGCACCACACCTGAGGATTCTGACACAGACACACAAACGTACATACACATGACTGTGAAAGCACTATTGTCTTCTTTTGTTCTCTTTTATCTTTACCATGTTGTTTCTAGTTTGTAGGAAGCACTTTGAGGAATACCCTATAGCAAGAAGGTTTTTTTTTTCCTTTGCGGGAGAGACACAGTAAGCAAGTGGCAATTGTGTCAGCACGCACTCACACACAAACTCAGTGAGGGGCACAGTCTGGCAGAGTTACGTGACCCGACGAATATCCCCTGTCGTGTGCTGCAGCATTCATCACCGAAGAGAGCGGAGGGGGCGTCATGACGTCCAATCACCCCGACCCCCACCTTGGTGTCGTTGAACGTAGCACGGAGCCAAAGAGACGGCGGCGATCAGGGAAGTCGGCGTTTAGCAGTGCGGAGCTTCACAGGCGCTTTGAACAGCACGTGTCCAGGGCACAGCACCTGTTTCTTCAGAACGACAAGGATGGGGCCGAGCGAGAGGCGACGCTGGCATTGCGAATTCACCCCACCGATCACCTGTTTGCCCTTCTTGCCGTTATTGCTGACTCCAAAGGGCAACGCGAGCGGGCAAGCGATTTTCGACTGTTACAGGCCTTTCTGGCTAACGATCCTGTGTTATGGGAAGAACTTCTGCATGAGTTCTTGCAGGAGCAGATGTATTACAAGTCTGCAGTGTGTCTGCAACGGCTGTCAGCGCTGGAAACGAAGGATAGGAACCGCTACCGTACACTGCAGCTGCAACTTGCTGATCTTTACATTGGCCTTGGTGAGGTTAAGCGAGCGGCCAACATTTTGGTCCCTCTGTGGAATGGAAGCCGCTGCCGAGACTTTGAAGTGTTTGCTTTGTTATCCTCTCTCTTTTTCCAGCTGGGACGGTGGAACTCCCTGCACCGCCTCATTGAGTCCAGTGTGAAAAGTGCCTTCCGCCGCACTTTGGCGGTAGAGGGTGTAGGTGGAAGAATCCCCGAGTCCCATAACGCGGACGCCAGTGTTTCAGGAACACCCATGGATGCTGGGGACGTTGTCGCTTCTCCGGGAAAGCGGAGAACCTCGAAACGAGTGCGCTTCTTCGGCGATGATGATGATGATGATCATGATCACACCGCAGAGATGGAAAGAGAGGGGCGGGAGGAGAAAGGATGCGAACCGGAAGTTCCTACTTGTGATGCTGCTGTTGAATGTTCCTCAGGAGTGCAAGAAGAGGATGACTTTGACTTTTCCAATGTGGGGAGCAGTAATGCTGGTGGTGGTTCTACTACAATGAGTGTAACTCCCTCTGTTGTGCTGCAGTCTCTTTATGGAGATAGTATTGAGCTTCGCACCCCTACAGCGAAGAAAAATTTTCTTACTCTTGTTAATGTGCACGCGGAGTTGCTAAATGAGGAAGGTAAGTTTCTTGATACTGTACGCCTTATTGAATTCACCGCAGGTTGCTTGCAGGTGTCTTTGCTTGATCTTCCTCCTGATTTACTACTTCGACTCGGACTAGCCTATGGGTATTTGGGAGGTTGGGAGCAGCAGTGTCGTGAATTGTTTAATCACCTTCTAGAAACGTGTCCTATGGCAGAATATGGAGATGTATTGTATGATGCAGCCAATGCCCTTCAACAGGTGGGAATGCATAAAGAAGCTCTTATGATTTTTCAAACGGTTCGCCGGTACCATGAATTTCAATTGACACAATGTACTAGTGAGTCAAATGGGGTAGATACAGATGAGTTGGCTGAAGTGAAAACTGTATTTGTGGCAGCATTATTTGCTGAAGGACAATGTGAAGCTTCATTAGGAAACTCAGAAGTTGCATACCAAAACTTTTGTCGAGTGTTGGATATCGATCCATCACACACTCAAGCTCGCCTCGCCCTCGGTCGCATGTACATGTATGAAATGAATGATACAGACCGTGCAGTAGCTGTTTTAACTCCACGTGAGGATGAACAGCCGCTAGAGCGTATTCAGCTTGGTGCTGAACTTGTACGTGTTTTTGCACGTGCAGAGAAGTATGTGGAAGCTATAGCTTTAGGTGTTTCTTTGTTTGAACTTATTCTTTCTGGCGAGGATGATGGAGACACAGAGTCTATAGCACCAGGTTCATCACGACGGAGCACCGCACCACTTTCAATGCCAACCCTTTCGCGTGCAAGCTCTGCTATTATTCCACCATCTGCTTTATCAGGGATTGTGAGTGGAGCAGGAATGGCAAGTCTAGCTTCATCTTCAGTTGGGCGTCTTTCGCATTCACTCGCAACTAGCATTAAATCGGCAAGTGTAGTTTTTCGCTCTAACTTGGCTCGCCGTGGAAGTGCACCACTAACAAATTCTGTTTATGGGGCTTCTGCAGCAGCATCGACAGCGGCAGGGTGGTCACGTGATGCGGAGGATCGGGAAAAGGATACTTCAACCATTTTTCGTTTTCACCGTAGAAAAAAACCAACGAAGCGCTTGCGCGATGTGGAAACAACAGAAGGCAACATTGGTCAAAATAAAAACAGTACTGACAATGCTAATAACGAGAATATAAAAGATACAGAGGAAGATGATGTTCTTTTAAGACAACGTCAACGATTAGAGGAAGTAACCACTCGTGGGGCGAAATCTTTCTGGAATGAAGAAGAAGAGGTAAATGATGCTGAAAAGCGTGCCAAAATAGAAAAAATAGAGAATTTACAATCTAATGAAGAAGATCAGATAAAAAAAGAGGGTTTGGATGAACAGGATCTTGAACAGCTTGAAGAAGCTCTAGTGGAAGAGGGAGTTGATGGAGACACTATGTCACAATATGAACTTCCATCTTTGGAGGAGGTAAGCAAGCAGTTTGGTGACCCAACAATGCAGGAACTTTTTATACAAGCCTCTAGTAATGATATATCCGATACCCTTCGAAATCCATGGGAGCCTGTAGAAGGTGCAACGGGAGGTGTAACACCTTTAGGTGCTGTTGGAGGAGATGCATTAGGAGTTACACCCTCTGCGGCTGCTTTACGAGTAACAGTACGTGATGCGTTGGGTGTACTTGGTCGCGCCGGTTTTATTGAACTTGCAGTTACTGTAATTGACTGCTACAGTGCCATTGGGAAATTTACGGAGGCGAAGGAGTTTGCCTTCGTTGTGTTAACACGATGCCCTCGGAATAGTATTTTTCGTCATGCTAGTGTACTTGAGCGTCCTCTACGATGGGCAGTTTTGCGTGCTGCATTAGCGTCAAAAGAGGGCGAAGATGCATACCGCGTTGGTGTACGTCTCTTACAGGAACAATGTAGCGAGGATGAAAAGAACCAGGTGGTACAGTTGCTGTTTAGTGTGTTGAATCGCGTAGAGGACAGTAGTGCTATTCTTTTGCGTCTTGTAGCCGATCGTAAGCAGGCTGATCCGCCACTGCTTGTACTATTGGGAAACCGTTACTTTATTCGTCGTTCATACATTCGTGCACTTAATTTATATCTTGTTGCATTACAAATGCGTCCTAATGATGCTTTTATTTGTTTTCTTATTGGTATTTCATACCTTCTTATTAGTCACCAGAAAAAGATCCGGGCACGAGAATCCTGTGTAGTTGCTGCATGTCATTATTTATCAAGATATCAAGAGACAGTGCGAGCTATAGATGCAAAACGCCACGGTGAGGCTGTGTATAACTCCGCCAGGGCATTTCAGTACCTTGGACTTCACCATCTTGCTTTGCCATTGTATGAACAGGTTGCGTATGAGTACAGTGTCCCTGAAGAGTGTTCGCTGGCAGTTCAACGGGCTGCAAGGTGGAATCTTTATTTTACATACCGTTGGCGCACGGGGAACAAGGCATTGGCACTTGCAGCATTGCAGCCAAAAAAATAAAGGACAAAAAAAATGATTTTGTTTTTTCTTTGCTTTTCTTTGACGATGACTTGACGTTGATAAAACATAGATAATTGAGGAACAGGATAAAAGCACAGACACGACAAAAAAAAAGAGAGAGGGGAAAACAGAGGAAGGAGTGAATGAATTATAGTAATACTAATAGTGAAGGAAGAGGAACACACAGTGGAAATAAATACAGAATGAAAAATGTAGTTATGTGTGCGTTTTTTTTTTTCTTTCTTTTTCCTCCCCAACCGTAGAAGTGATAAAGGAGTATTGTACACCTCTTTAATTATTTTTACGTATATATATATATATCTTTGTATTTTATAATTTCAATAATATCTTTTATTTTCTTATTTGAGATGTTTATAGGCTACAGAGACCTCCCAATCTTATTTTTCTTCTTTGTGCTTCTGTGTCTTTTCTATTTTTATTTCTTCTCCAGTGTTCGCTTCTTGCGAGTGTCTTGAAGGACATTCAAGAGCTACATAGGAGAGTAAAGGGACTTCAAAGTAAGAAAGAACTAAATTTACACTTTAACAAGTCAAAGGAAAGACACGCACACACACACAAAAAAAGCATATCCGGAGTCTTCACCCTTCCCTCTCCCCAACGCTTCTCCCAAAAGGGTATATTGGCGGAGAGAAGGAAAAAAAAAAAAAAGGAGACATACACTGAGTCTTTTTTCTTTTGTGTACGCGAGTGATCGGGTGGTACACTGATTCTATTGTTTCTGATATTTTTGCACTGTGCGTTTGTGCTTGTGTGTGAGTGTGATAAGTTTCTGCTCCACTAATTGCGAAAGGCAAAACCAGGAACAGCAATAGTAAAAAAAAAAAAGGAAAAAAAAAAAAAAACAACAACTTTTCATAACAATTCAAAAACAAAAGCTAACAAGAAGAAGACGAACAAAAAAAAAAAAAAAAAAAAAACAATATATATATAGCTATATATATATATATATTATCAGTAATAAATGTCAGAGAAATCATCATCGCATATGGAAGCTAGCGGAAGTGAGGCGCCCCCCTTTAATTCCCATCTTGACAGTGTAGGAACTCGAATGGGATCATCCGGGCACCCACGCATCGATAGCACACAATCTGCAGCCATTGAACGGTTTTTACTGGATGGTAATTTAGGGGATCTTTTGGCTGGTAATAGTGGTGGGCCACGGTTTGGTGTCTCTGTTGCCAGTACGCTGGCACCAGGGAGTGAGACGATTCGGGGACCGGGAACTATCACGGAGAATCCAAGTTTTGTTTCTACAAGATTTCCAGATGTCTCAGAGACACTCCCACCAGATGCAGTCCCACCAGAAGCTCCGTCTCTCGGAGTGTCATCGTCATCAGCAGCGGCATCAGTACCAGTAGTGATTTCACCTGCGCCTTCTGTTAAGCATTCACCTGCGGTGGATACAAATGCAGATAGTTCAGCGGCTGCATTGGCTCGTCGTGTGACTCTTACGCCATCTGAGACTTTGGCCCAAAAGGCTGCACGAGAGGATTCTGTACAGAAAAATCTCAGGAAATCGGTGTCCCCTGTTGAGAAAGTAGTGGTTCCTTCCAAAAGTTACACCCCATCTGCTTCATCGAATCGGGGTTCACAAGGGGATTACGCTCATAAAGGGAATTCTTCTAGTTCGGCAAATGCTTTGGAACTTGAGATGATGAAACAACTCTCAAATCTTACCACCCCACTACGAGATTCTTATGTTCAACCTCAACAACGACGAGGGTATAGTACCAGAAAAGCCAGCCTAAAGCGTAGTATGTCAACTACTGATATTGCGGGTGTGCAGACTAGTCCAAGAGTAGCCTACATTGACCCAGACGCTTTTGGGGGACGATATGGAACACCTAGTATGCGTACAGCATCACCATCGAGTTCCCAGAGTAATTTGAGTAACCCAGTTGCACGAAAAAAGAGCGGAGGATCTTCTGTGGCGAGTACAAAACTAGACCGTGGAGGAAAAGCATTAACTCCTGTATGGAGTACAGCCACAGATCGTATAAACCGAGATATTGAAATTAAAGGGGATGGTATGTCTTATGAAGGGTTTCTTCCTCCAGATTCTGGACGTCTGGGATGGAAATCTAGACCAAATAACTATTTGAGGGCTTCCGATGTAAGTGCGCTTAGAACTGGGAGTCCAGTATCATATACACCTGGTGGGTATCCAACTTCTATTGCTCACACATCAATCATTGGTTCTTCCCGTGGAGGAGATTCACATGGTGATCATCATGTTAGTCCATATATGTCCTCCCGTGGGCCTGGTTCTGGTGCTATGTCTGAACAGTTTGTTGGGCGTAATATGCGCGTGAAGGCAAAGCATGGAGGTATACGTTCTACATCAGGAATAGTAAACAATGGTGGCGTCCACGCCAGAGTTGGGAGTTCCATTGCAGGTAATGGTGATCCTACTCAGAGGATCAGTGTTGGTTCACTTCCTGGAAGCACAACTGCAAAAAATCCAAAAGTAATTCATCATGCGGAAGACGTATTTATGTCACTTATTGGAGGAAAACGAAAGGAAAAACAACGGCCTCCCTCACTTTTCGCCTCAGATACCGCTCTACCTATTCTTGTTAATACAGAAGTATCTCCACCGCGGGGTTCATTCTATAACGGTAATAATAGTGGTGGTGGTGGTGGTGGAAATGGAGGCGGAGGCGGTAATGGTGGAGGAGGAGGTGGTGGTGGTGGTAATGGTAATGGAGGAGGAGGCGCTAAAAAAGTGTTAAACGGTCCTGCTGATGAAGAGGAACGTGAAGAACATCACTTTAAAGATCATAAAAGAATTGCCCTACATGCTATTCCATGGGATCAACGATCATTTATTCCTCTTACTGGATTTGGTATTAAAACGTTTGGTATCTTTTCCGCACCCCTTTTCTGGGAGAAGTTGGATTGGACTGTTCGTGCCTCACTTTTCACCGTATTACCAACAATGATTCTTACCCTTGAACCTAAGACAGCAGGTATTTTTCCATTGCCATCATCAGTGGCATTTTTAGCATTTTGGATTACAATGCCAACTTTTGGTTCAGGCTTAAGGGAATTTATTATAGCTCTAAAGGGATATGCATTAAGTCTTGTAATGCTTATGATAGTTATTGCGATAAATCCCAAAGCATCATGGTTAATTCTTATGCTGCTTTTTATATTCGTGTTGCTTACATCATTCTTTGCAGAACAGGTGAAAAAGACATGTGCGTACTGTCTTGCAGTCTTTTTAATGCAACGACAAGATGATCCAGATAATACAGGAATGGCATTTGTAGGAGATTACTTTATTACATTACTTATTGCGCTCGCTTTCGGCCTTGCAGCATTTTTTATTCCAAATATTAGATGGTCAAGTGATCTGGCAAAATTATATGTTACACTTCTTGGTAACTCTTTAAGTATTTATGTACAAGGAACATGTGCAAGTTTTTGGACTAGATCTCCACTAGAGCGTGAACTTCATCTTGTACGTCTTCGTCAACTAAAAGCAACAGCTCAGAAAGCCATATCAAAAGCCTCTATGTTTTTTGAAGAAGCAGAATATGAACCACATAGTGGAGAGTTTATGTTCTCTATAAGTGCTCGACATGAGTTCTTAGTGAATGTTGATAATATTCTTTCTTCTATGGTTCAAGTAATAGACCTTATAAATGATAATCCTGAACTGATTGAAACTCCATTATGCATTAATTTTGGAAACGCTATAGCAGAGGATCTTGCTCTCATTTCTTCTGCGATGGACAGTATGATATTAAAAATTTCAGATTTTAAGCATCCTGTAGAAGATGAAGATATTCAAATGTTTAAGGAATCACGGGAACGATTTCAAGAACGACTATCAGAGGTACGACAAGAAGTTATTCTTAATAATGAAATGTATGAAACAGATGAGTCTGATGTATTACTGGGATTCTTTATGTTTAGCGTAGATGAACTCTGTGATGTTATAGCTAATTTTGAACCAAAAGGAGCACCAAAAAGTACCATTTTAGAATGGATTAAAACTCCAATAAGAGATTGTAAAAGTTCTTTTGATGCTTTTGCTTGTCTTTTTACTACTATTATTCAAGATCACGATATTACAAGACGAGCAAAAGAGGCTATTAAACTTGCACTTTGTATGACAGTACCTGGTATCTTTCAAATATATGCTCTTGATAATAATGATACAAGTCCTGTGGCTGGTGCAGCTATTATTGCCTTTGTATATAGTCAAACTGGAGCACAGAGTTTTACCTATGCTGTAAATCGAGTACTTGGCACCGTGCTAGGATCTCTCACTGCTCTTCTTGCCGTACAAATAGCAAATGGAACTCGTTGGGTCTTATATATAGCAGTAGGTATTCTCTCTTTTGTTGGGGCGTACATTCAAACTAGTCCAGAATATTTTGCAGCCGGTAATGCAGTGTGTAATAGTGTTATCTCGGTTATTACACAATATATGAACCCTGAAGCTGCAATGGTACGTATTAAACAAAACGTATTTGCCATTCTTATTTATTTCTGTATTTCAATGGTTTTATGGCCAATGCGAGCACATAAGAAAATGCGAATGTCTTTTGATATCAGTTTACGATGTTTTCGTGAAGTTACATGTCAACTTTTACGAAATTTAGATATGCCAGATGATGTGAGTGAAGTAAATTCCAGTAGTTCAGCAATATTAAAAGAATGGAATAAAAAGATTAAACGACAAGCTAATTTCTTACGAGGTGCTATGACTGAACCAACTCTTGTTGGTGCTGACTTTCCAGAATTACCTTGGCGAAAACTTATTGATGCACAATGGAGTCTATGGTCTAATCTTTCCATGATGCGATTTGCATATTTCACTTTTATGTCAAGTAAAGTGGATGATGCAACAGAGTTATCTGTTCACTGGGTTGTATTACGTCGAATTTCACCATATGCAAAGGATCTATGTGATTTACTATACGCCGCTATTGATCTTTACTTACTTTCATTTGGTAAAACCACTGTAGTTCCAACAAGTCATCTTACACGTCTACGACATGGTATGCTAGAGGCGGAAAAAAATATTTTGGAAGTGTACATTCAGACAATTTGCCGTAAACTTGGTGGTGAAAGCTCTGATGATGAGGAGGATGATGATGGTCTTGGTAGCAGAGGAAATGGGATTAATAATACTAGTTATAGTGAAGATAATTTACATAAAGTAGCAGCGAGTGATAGCGTATTTCAAACAGGACTCAACTCACACAATACACGATCAGGGGAAGAAAATCAGCATGGTGAAAAGGACGATGCGGAATCTGTAAAAACGAAAAAACAAGAAAAAAAGCGAAAGGATGGTTATCTTATGTACAATCTAACTCCTGAGGATTTGGAGGAACTCAAAAAACATCTTTTGAATAGATCTTTCGTTTCTAGTATGCGAGATGTAGGTGCTACGGATCGTGCCAGCAATGATGGCAGTGTAGATATGAATACCAAAAAAGCGAAAAAAGGATTATTAGGGGGAAGTTTCGCCAAAAATCACTCCTTTAGTAATTTTTTCAACAGAAGATCCAGTCAACAGGGCCGTGGGAACGAAGTGGATGAGGCCATCGCCAAAGTTAATGGCAATAAGAAAAATGGAAAACGATCCAGTGGAGTGGAGGACACCGCACAGGGTGAAAACAATAATCCCAGTCTCTCTATGAAATCCGCCTCTTTAAATAAACGGAAAGGAACCACCACGGCAACACCAGGGGAAGATCCCCTTTACGGCCATGATGTGGATGAGGAAGGACATCACTCCTTCGATGGAGAGGAACAGAAGTTAATCGCTAGAAAGAAATCCAACCATGAAGATGAACATGCGGAGGAGGAGGAAATGAAAAGTCAGGATCCGGATATTTTACAAGAACGCATCCCCACAACAGTGAAACCCCCATCTTCCTCAGATCCGGAAACAGTGAATACACTCGTCGTTCGGCGTAACTCCGCCTCTGGAGAAGTGCGGGCAAAAGACCCCGCGAGATCCCAAGGGAATTCCTTTTCATCTATGGAAGTCGCGACATCTTCACATGAAGGGGATCGTAGTTCAGTCTCCCCCACAGGAGATGCATCGGAGATACTCAATCAACTCACATTTTATGATCCAGAGAAAAAGGAGTTTGTGCTAACGAATCAAGATATTCATAGTCTGGAGGCATTTCTCTTTGGCGTGCGTGCCCTCACTGTACAGCTCGGAGAGTTACAAAAGGCACTTTTGGAATTACAGAACGCAGAGGAATTGGCACGCAAAGTGTAAAAAGAAAAAGAAAAAAAAAACGAAAAAAAAAATTAAAATAAAATAATTTTGATAGTATTATGTATGCAAACACACATTATATATATATATATATATATGTCTTCTAAAAAGAAGAGAAAACCAACAACAACTACAAAAAACAAAGATACAAATAAAAAAAAAGGAAACGGGTACATTCCGCCCAAATACAGACGTTGAGCGAACGCCTAAAAATGCCATGTTTTTTGTTTTCCAATTGTTCTCTGCATTGTCTAAGCTCTCTTTTTTCCCCCTAAACTCATTTCTTTCAATCAGAGACACTTACTTTGGGTGTGTTAATAATTCTCCATTTGTACGTCTGTTTATCATTGTTTTTTTTTTTTTTCACTGTATTTGTGTTTACATATTAGGGTATTCGGATATATGTATTTTCCCCTATATATGTTCGTTTTTTTTTTTTTTTCTCTTTTCTTCCTTTTTTTTTGTTTTTTTCCCCAGCTGCACGTGCATATTTGCAATTAACTTGTGATAGCGTGATTGTTCAATTCCTACATTAGTTACTATTATTATTATTATTGTTGTTGTTATCATTATTATTACTTTATATAAATATGTTTCTCCAAGTTTCTAGGGTGTTTTCCGTTGTATTTTATTTCTGCAAGCGTGTAGAGTAACTAAAAGGAAGACGAGGCTAGGCGAACAAAACATTATGGAGAAAAAGGAACTCAGTAAGAACAGATAGAGTTGGTAAGGAAAAAGGAGCTATTGAGTTTCCCCATGACTCATTTTTCTTTTTTTTTTTATGTGATTATTATGATTATTATTATTTTGATTATCATTATTATCATTATTATTATTTGCTTTATGCTCTGCTTCATCGACTAATAATATTCCTGTTGTGATGCCCCCTTCGTATTTCTATTTCTATTACGATGGATTCCCTCTTATTCCACACAGTTTTCCACTCCCCCCACCCTGAGTGTTCCTCTTCTCTCGTTTTATTTTTTTTTTTAATTTTTTTTTTTCTCTGTGGTCCTTTTTTCTTTTTCTTCTTGCCTTTGCTCCTTATCTCTTCGATACACAAAAAGGGAGAAAAGAAGAAAAAGAAGAAGAAGGAATAATAATAATAATAATAATAAAAATAAACGAGAGATAGAGAGAAAGAAGAAGAAGAAGAAGAAGGGGACTTCCACCATACATCAACAAGTGAGATGTGGAAGGGCGAGAGAGGGAGTGGGGGATTGTTCAGATGAGAGGACTGCAGAGAGAAGAGAGAGAATAAGTATCTGGGATTAACTAATCGAAAGGAGAGAGAGAGAGAAAACAACGGACAATGGATGCGAAGAAAAAAAAAAATAAATAAATAAATAACATCAAAAAAAAAAAAAAAAATACAATAAAAAATAAAAGAATGGAAAAATACAACAGGAAAATATCAACACACTATTGAGAAAAAAAGTAAAACGCATTAATTTTTTTTTTTTTCTGTGTGTTTAAGCGTGATGAGGAGGAGGGAAGGAGTTTACAATTATAAACCATTCAAAAAAGAAGAAAAAAAAAGAATTAGAGGAAAAGTTTGATGGATATTGTGATAGCAGCTTTTAAACATTTTCTGAATACTTTCCCTTTTTTTTCTTTTATATCTTTTTTTTTTTGTTTTGTGATGTTTATAACTGTTAGACACCTCTACAATTCTTTATCTTTTTCTTTACTGTTGCTTTGTTTTCCTTGTATTGATATGGTAGGGCAGCAGACAATGTAAGAGTAGACTTTTTTGATTTTCTTTTTTTTTTCTGTATTTTATTTTTCTTCTTTCTTTATGGCTTTGCTTTCTGTTTTTTTTCTTTTTATCTTTCTGATGAGCAGTTTTACAAGTATTTTTTTTTTTTTTTTTATTTCCTTATGCAATCAATGTCTTTTTCTTTTTATTGTTGTTGATTCTTGGTGAAGATTCATCTACGGCCCTCTTTACTGTCTCTCCCCTCTCTTTCTCTCTCTCCCTTCGGCACGTTATTAGTGCTTGTATTTAAAACAAGCTTCAATTTCAGTTGTTTTTTTTTTTGCGTGGGCAAATGTTTTTATTATTATCTGTTTTTCTCTGTTATCTTTGGAAAAAAGACTCTTTTCTGAATTCCAATAATATTTACTTTTCTTCTTTTTATATTGTAAACCACTTATATAAATATGTCTAAGGAAAGATAATAAATAAAGAAAAGGAAAAGAAAGGGGAAAGAAAGAGATATCTTCACTTGTCTCCTTTTTTTGATTCGTTACTGTAACAATAGCAGTTGAGAGGGGAAAAACAAAAACAAAATAGGAATATATCGTTTCTTGCCATAACTGGTAGATTTCAAACCCACCCCACCAC